AAAAACAACAAAATTGAAAAATTGAAAAAACGAAAAATTGTGATATAAAATCAAGAAAATGAAAAAAAAATCGGGCAAATCGAAAATTAAAATCAAGAACTTGAAGAATTGAGGAAACGAAAAACTGAAAAATCGAAAAATTAAAAATTGAGAAACTGAAAAATCAAAAAATGAAAAATTGTAATGTCGAAAAATCGCAAAATTGAACAAAATATTAAAAATTGAAAAAATGAAAAGTCAAATAAATCAAAAAGTTTTAAAATCTAATAATTAATTAATTGAGTAATGGAAAATCTCTAAAATGGTAAACTTGAAAAAGTGAACGTTTTTTAAAAATTATAAAAATTATTAGAACATTTTTAAAATGAAAATTAGAAAAATTGCGAATGAAAAATTGAAGCAAACGAAAATTTAAAAAATCGAGAAAAAGAAAAATCCAAAAACTGAAAAATTTCACATTGAAGAAAAGAAAAACGGAAATCAAAAATGGCAAATCGAAAAATTGATGGAATGAAAATTTGAAAAGTTGAAGAATTAAAAATTGAAAACTCGTGAAACTGCAAACTGAAAAATTGCAAAATTTGGAAATTGAAACATCCAAAAGTTGAAAAGTCGAAAAACTGAAAATTTTGAAAATGAAAACTCAAACGTTCCATCGCAAAATTTGAAATGAAAAATCAAAAATTGAAGAAAAATGAAAAATCAGAAACATTGTAAAATTGAAAAATCAAAAATGAAAAACGAAAAAATGAAAAATTGAAGAAACGGACGAGAAATTTAAAAATCGAAAAATTTCAAAATTGAAAAATTTTAAATATGAAAAATCGAGGAATTGAAAAGTTTTCAATTTTTCGATTTCATAAATTTCAGATTTTTTTATTTTTCAATTCTTCGATTATTTTAAATTTTTTGTTTTTGCAATTGCTCAGTTTTTCGATTTTTTGACGTATCGATTTTTGGATTTCACGATTTTTCAATTTTTCAATTTATTGTTTTAATTTTTCGATTTTTCAGTTTGCTAATGTTTTAATTTTTTGTGTTTTTAATTTTTTTTATATTTTGTTTTCTCGTTTTTTCGAATTCTGGGTTAAAACAAAAAAAAATCAAAGATTGAAAACTTGAAACATTGAAAAACGAAAAGTTCTGATATGAAATCAAGAAAATGAAAATAAAAAAATCGGGAAAATCGAAAATAAAAATCAAAAACTGGGAAACTTAAGGAAACGAAAAACTGAAAAATCAAAATTAATCTAAAATAAAAATTAGAAAAATTTATTGAAAAATCTAAAATTGAAAGGAAAAATTGCAAATCAAAAATTGAAAAATCCAAAAACTGAAAAGTCGAAGAATCGAAGAATCACTGATTGAAAATTTGAAGAATTGAATAATCGAAAAATTATAAAATCGAAAGAAGAAAGTGAAAACTCAAAAATGGGGAAAATGGAAATAAAAAAACAACTCAATCAAAACTGAGGAAAAGAAAAATTGAAAAATCGAAAAATGAAAAATTGTAATATCGAAAAATTGCAAAATTGAACAAAAAATTAAAATTCTAATACATGAAAGAGTTTTAAAATCCAACAATTGAAAAGTCTAAAAATTCGAAAACCGTAAAACTGAAAACGTGAAAATTTTAAAAAATCATACATCGTGATATTACATTTCTAAAATGAAAACATCAAAAATTGAAAAAACAAAAAACTGAAAAATGGAAAAGTTGAAAAATCTAAAATTGAAATAGAGAAAAGTTGAAAAATTTCATATTGAAGCAAAAAAAAATACAAAGTTCAGAATAAGAATATTGAAGAACTAAAAAATAAAGAAAATAAAAAACCGAAACGAAAATTCGAAAAATTGCAAATCAAAAATTGAAAAATCCAAAAACTGAAAAATTTCACATTGAACAAAAAAAAATTAACAGGAACAGGAAAAAATAAAGAAAATAAACAACCGAAACCAAAAATCGCTAATCGAAAAATTGAAGAAATGAAGAACTGAAAACTTCAAGAGTAAAAAATTTAAAACTCGTGAAACTGCAAACCGAAGAATTGGAAAATCTAGAAACTGAAACATCCAAAAGTTGGAAAATTGAAAAACTGAAAATTTTAAAAATGTAAACTCAAAATCCATCGCAAAATTGAAAAAATGATAAATTAAAACTTTGAAAAATCGAAAGAACGAAATATTGAAAATTAAAGAAATTGGAAAGTTGAATAATTGAGAAATCCAAAAAAACATGGAAAATCGAGAAATTGAAAAATCAAAAATAGAAAGTTTGCAAAATTGAAAAAACGAAAAATTGTGATCTAAAATGAAGAAAATACAAATGAAAAATTCGGGAAAATAGAAAATAAAAATCAAGAACTTGAAAAATTGAAAGATGAAAAATTGTAATATCGAAAAATTGCAGAATTAAACAAAATATTAAAGATTGAAAAAATGGAAAGTCAAATAAATGAAAAAATTATCATTTTTAAAATGAAAAAGTAAAAATTGAATAATTTCAAATTGAAAAAAAAAGAAAAATAATTATATATTTAGAACTTCGAGGAACCGAAAATTTGAAAAAAATAAAGAACATAAAAAACCGAAACCAAACACCGCAAATCGAAAAACTGAGGAAATGAAAAATTGAAAAGTTGTAGAATTAAAACTGCAAACCGAAGAATCTCAAAATCTAGAAATTGAAACAACGAAACTGAAACTTAAAAATATAGAAAATTGCAGAATCGAAAGACCGAAATATTGGAAAATAAAGAAATTGGAAAATTGAATAATTGAGAAATCCAAAAAAAAACATGGAAAATCGAGGAATTGAAAAATGAAACATAGAAAATTTGAAAAATTGAAAAAACGAAAAACTGTGATATAAAAGCAAGAACTTGAAAAATGGAGGAAACGAAAAACTGAAAAATCGAAAAATTAAAAATTGAGAAACTGAAAAATCGAAAGATAAAAAATGGAAAAAGTAAAAATCTAAAATTTTAAAAATGACAACTGTAAATCAAAAATTGAAAAATCCAAAACTGAAAAATTTCACATTGAACAAAAGAAAAATAATTATAAAACCGGAACAGGAAAAAATAAAGAAAATAAACATCCGAAACCAAAAATCGCTAATCGAAAAATTGAAGAAATGAAGAATTGAAAACTTCAAGAGTAAAAAATTGAAAACTCGTGAACAGCAAACCGAAGAATTGGAAAATCTAGAAATTGAAACATCCAAAAGTTGGAAAATCAAAAACTGAAAATTTTGAAAATGAAAACTCAATCCATCGCAAAATTGAAAAAACAAAAATGAAAAACGAAAAAATGATAAATTAAAACTTTGAAAAATCGAAAAAGTGCAAAATCGGAAAATTGTATAATTGAGAAATCCAAAAAAAAAACAGGGAAGATCAAGGAATTGAAAAATGAAAGATAGAAAAATTAAAAATTGAAAAACTGAAATATCGAAAGATGAAAAAACGAAAAAGTAAAAATCTAGATATTGAAAATGGAAAATTGCAAATCAAAAATTGAAAAATCCAAAAACTGAAAAATTTCACATTGAAAAAAGAAAAAAATAATTAAAAATTGAAAACTCGTGAAACTGCAAATCTAAAAATTGAAACATCCAAAAGTTGGAAAATCGGGAAATGAAAAATTGGAAAAATTGAAGAAACAGAAAAATGAAAATTGAAAAATCGCAAATCGAAAAACTGAAGAAACGAAAAATTAAAAATTCAAGTGTTTTTACTTTGTAGACGTTATCAGAAAGCAAAAATCGCATGCATTTTTATAATATTTTTTCAAAGAAGACGGATTTGTTGGTCTGGACTTCAGGTGTAAGAAAACTTCGATCAATTTTTTTTGCCTTGAAATCCTAACTTAATTAGATTGTTCGCTTGTTGTTTCTGAAAGTGCTATGTTGTGTTTAAAAACAAACTCCCATTCATTTATTATTAAACTCAACTTTTCCACAATCGAGCGATCGCCTGTGAAGATGCCATCACCGACATTACTCCATCCGTATGCATGACATTTCCACAACACCGCTTACCGCACCGGCCACGACTTCGATCCTCGTCGACACGTTTCGTCCCTTTTCTCCGCATCTCCAAGCACGCGCCTATAAACAACCCGCTTCATTCAAGGTGATCGCATGAGTCACCTGCTCAGAACACGTTCACCTGTGTTCTTGTTTTGTTCGAGATGCAGGTGATACGCGCCGATACGGCGACTTTATTTATCATCGATGAAAAAATACCGAAAAATCCCAACCTGTTTCGCAATTTATAACGAGAGATAACTACTTCCTGGGAGCGTGTTCCGGTCGGTAGGCGTGGCGCACGCAGAACCGGTATCGACTCTAGATTTTTTCGGCTCTTTATTGTTGGGCTTTTTTCGGAACGCACTGTGTGAAACGCGATACTATAATGGGTGGATTAAGGTCGACGACGTGTCATGTTATGCGAGCCAGGAGTACATAATCATATTTTAAGGCGGCTAAAAATAAGGCTTTGTTTTGGGTACGAGGCTCGGGCGAAGTCGCGGCTTTTCACATTTTCGTCTAATGCGCGATGTTGTACTAATAACAATGTTATTATGTACGAGTTTTTGTTCGAATTAAAAAAAAAAAAAAAGTGGAGTTCCCCAAGGTTTCCAACTGACGCCACCATTCTTCACGATTTACGCCAGTGATATACAGTTTGCAAATCGAATACAAATCCTCTCGTCGCATTTAACCCTAAAATCAATAGGAATCATGCACGAGCACGTCGCGTTAACCGCAATGTAGGACACGGGAAACGTTTCGTTCCAGCCAAATAGACCGTTCAAGTGCGATTATCCTCATCCAGGACACAGATTCATCCTGGCGAAATCCAGCAGCCGGTGCACTCACCCCCTTTATCGATCGACGTGGGGGTTGTTGACCCCGATGCTACACGTTGCATTCTCACGTCGTTCGCACCCGCACAGATTCTCCCGAAAATACAACCCTTTTCTGGACGTTACAGAGCTGAGCAGCGCCCAGAGGTCCTTCGCCGAATGCCTGCAGGTCTTCACGTTCGAATGCATCGGGGGCGCCCAGACCGACGACGAGCAGGTGATCTGCAAGTCGCTGAGCGAATTCGGGAAGCTGATCGTGTCGATCGAGGAGGAGCGAGACAGAATGGTGAGTTTTGGAAAAAGGTTGCTAAGCAACGAAAGTGATATGTTGCCTTTTGTGACGTAATTGAAACGGTGAATGCCGGCTTAAACCCTCGAGCACGAAGTTCACATCTGTATTATAACTTACTTTAGTATATGGTACCTTGATGTGAAGGGGTTAAAGTCGACGATTATAATTTAATTAAAATTAATAAATTGAACGCGGAAAGTGCACCGGAGATATGCTATTTTTTTCTGCATCAGGTGTCATTTTTTGTTTGTTTGTTTGACTGAATGGATAATTTTCCCACCGCAGCGGTTGCGTAATAGACTCATTATTTGCCAATTGAGGCGAATCGAAGGACAAATTTCCTAAGCGTTGCTTTCCGATCTAGATGCCATAAAAAGATTTTTGTGCCGGCTTTGCTTTCTAAAAATTGAGTAATTTCAAAAATTTAGACCTCGTAGTTCTAAAAATAAACGTTTGATTAACATTTTTGCTTTTTTACTATCTCGTCTTCTCAGAAATAGATTAAGTTGTTTGTCATCATAAATAATTACAATGCATGCGGTTAGATTCCGTTGCAGGATCTACATGAGGTGACGCTTTGTAATACAATGGAAGTATTCCTTGATTGCTTTAATTGGTCGTGGTTTAAGAATTACTGCATTAATTTCAGCTGTTTTTAATTTTTAAAATAAGTTATCAAATGTCTGTAAAATCGGTCTAAAGAATCTATGCAGTGATTTCCTCACACGCGTATCGGTGATGCTTGTCAGGTCATGGCGGGCCAGGTCAGATATAGCTCAGACCAATTTCTGAAGAAGTCGATATGGACGCAGAATTGACTGTTTTATGAACGGAAATAGTCGGGCGGACGTAGCAAATACCGTCTCGTGAAAGCAAGTATACACCGGATGCTGTGTTAACCGAATCATGAACGCACATTTTTCTCACTTGCAAGAATTGTAAAGACCGGCTTTTCGATTTTTAGATTTTTCAAATTTTTGCTTTTTTAATTTTTCGAACTTTCGATTTTTCGAATTCTCAATTTTCCATTTTATCAATTGTTCGAATTTTGGATATTTCGATTTTTCAAATTTTGATTTTGATTTTTCGAAGTCTTAATGTTCTTTTCTCGATTTTCGATTTTCAGATAAATATTTCTAATTTTTGCTTTTTCTAATTTTCGAATTTTCGAGTTTTCGAATTCTCAGTTTTTCCTTTTTTCGGTTCGGTTGTTTCGGTTTTCTGATGTTTCAATGTTTCGAGTTCTCTAATTTTTGTTTTCTTGATTTCTCAATTTCTCGATTTCCCAATTTCTCAATTTCTGAAATTTCTGGTTCTGCATTTTTGGGAATTTTCAATTTCTCGAATTTTTGGTGTTCAGTTTCGCAATTTCATCATTTCTCGAATTTTCATTTTTAATTTTCGATTGTTCGAATTTTGGATGTTTCAATTTTTCAAATTTTGATTTTTCGAAGTCTTAATTTTTGTTTTTTTTTATTGTATGATTTTTCGATTATCAATTTTGTAATTTTCCAGTTTTTGTTTCTTCGATTTTTTATATTTCGATTTTTCGAGTTTTAAATTCTCGATTTTTCGGTTTTTCAATGTTTATATTTTTCGATTTTTCGTATTTCCAATTTTCCGTTTTGCAATTGTTTGATTTTCGATTTTTCGGTTTTTTGGTTTATCGAAAATCAATTTTCTGATTTGTTAATTTCTCGATTTTTAGATAAGTTGTTCTAATTTTTTCTTTTTTTAATTTTCGAATTTTCGATTTTTCGAATTCTCAATTTTTCCTTTTTTCGGTTCGATTTTTTCGGTTGTCCGTTGTTTTAATTATTCGAGTTCTCTAATTTTCGTTTTCTTGTTTTCTCAGTTCCTCAAATTTTTGGTTCTACATTTTTGCGAATTCTCGATTTCTCGAGTTCTCAGTTTTCAATTTCCCAATTTCTCGATTTTCAATTTCTCTATTTCTCGAATTTTCATTTTGAATTTTCGACTTTTCGAATTCTCAATTATTAATTTTTTCAATTGTTCGAATTTTAGATCTTTCAATTTTTCAAATTTTGATTTTTATTATACCAAATCTTCATTTTTCGTTTTTTTTTTATTGTACAACTTTGATTTGATGAATTTTATAATTTTCCAGTTTTCGATTCTTCGATTTTTCGAGTTTTCAATTCTCGATTTTTTGGTTTTTCAATGTTTAGATTTTTCGATTTTTCGTACTCCTAATTTTCCGTTGTTTCAATTGTTTCATTTTTGATTTTTCGGTTTCTTGATTTTTCGAATTTTCAATTTTCTGATTTGTTAATTTCTCGATTTTCGATTTTTACATAAGTAGGTATTTAAAATTTTTGCTTTTTTTTAATTTTCGAATTTTCGATTTTTTGAATTCTCAATTTTTCAATTTTTCAAATTGTTAGTGCTGCATTTTTGCGAATTCTCGTTTTCTCGAGTTCTCGGTTTTCAATTTCCCAATTTCTCGATTTTCAATTTCTCTATTTCTCGAATTTTCATATTGAATTTTCGACTTTTCGAATTCTCAATTATTCATTTTTTCAATTGTTCGAATTTTGGATATTTCGATTTTTCAAATTTTGATTTTGGTTATACGAAGTCTTAATTTTTCGTTTTTTTTTATTGTACTACTTTGATTTGATGAATTTTATAATACTCCAGTTTTCGATTCTTCGATTTTTCGGTTTTTCAATGTTTCGATTTTTCGATTTTTCATATTCCCAATTTTCCGTTTTTTCAATTGTTTGATTTTCGAATTTTCGATTTTTTGAATTCTCAATTTTTTCGGTTTTCCCTTGTTTTAATTTTTCCAGTTTTCTAATTTTCGTTTTCTTGATTTCTCAATTTCTCGATTTCCCAATTTTTCAATTTTTCAAATTGTTAGTGCTGCATTTTTGCGAATTCTCGTTTTCTCGAGTTCTCGGTTTTCAATTTCCCAATTTCTCGATTTTCAATTTCTCTATTTCTCGAATTTTCTTTCATTTTGAATTTTCGACTTTTCGAATTCTCAATTATTCATTTTTTCAATTGTTCGAATTTTGGACATTTCGATTTTTCAAATTTTGATTTTGGTTATACGAAGTCTTAATTTTTGTTTTTTTTTTTATTGTACTACTTTGATTTGATGAATTTTATAATACTCCAGTTTTCGATTCTTCGATTTTTCGAGTTTTCAATTCTCGATTTTTCGGTTTTTCAATGTTTAGATTTTTCGATTTTTCATATTCCCAATTTTCCGTTTTTTCAATTGTTTGATTTTCGAATTTTCAATTTTCTGATTTGTTAATTTCTCGATTTTCGATTTTCAGTTAAATGTTTCAAATTTTTGCTTTTTTTAATTTTAGAGTTTTCGAATTCTCAATTTTTCCTTTTTTCGGTTCGATTTTTTCGGTTTTCCGATGTTCTAAAATTTCGAGTTCTCCAATTTTCGTTTTCTTGATTTCTCAATTTCTCGATTTCTCAATTTCTCAAATTTTTGGTTCTGCACTTTTGCAAATTCTCGATTTCTCGAGTTCTCGGTTCTCAGTTTCCCAATTTCTCCATTTTTTGATTTTCAATTCCTCTATTTCTGGAATTTTCATTTTGAATTTTCGACTTTTCGAATTCTCAATTATTCATTTTTTCGATTGTTCGAATTTTGGATTTCTTTGATTTCGATTTTTCTTTTTTTTTTTGGTCGTATGATTTTTCGATTATTAATTTTGGAATTTTACAGTTTTCGAATTTTGGATTTTTCGTGTTCTCAATTTTTCGTTTTTCAATTGTTTCATTTTCGATTTTTTGGTATTTCGAATTTTCAATTTTCTGATTTGTTGATTTCTCGTTTCTAGATATTTAAAATTTTTGCTTTTTTTAATCTGCGAATTTTCCATTTTTTGAATTCTAAATTTCTCCTTTTTTCAGGTGTTTTTTTTTTTGGTTTTCCGATGTTTCAATTTTTCGAATTCTCTAATTTTAGTTTTCTTCATTTCCCAATTTCTTAAATTTTTGGTTCTGCATTTTTCAATTTTTCGTAATCTCTGTTTTGATTTTTCAATTTTTCGAATTTCTTGAGTTCTCGATTTTTCAAATTTTCATTTTCATTCTTGGATTTTTGATATTTCGATTTTTCGGTTTTTCAATGTTTACAAATTTCGATTTCTTGGTTTTTCGAATTTTCGATTTTCTCATGTGTTAATTTCCCGATTCTAGATATTTAAAATTGTTGCTTTTTATAATTTTCGACTTTTCCATTTTTTGAATTCCCATTTTTCTGTTTTCAGTTGTTTTTTCGGTTTTCCGATTTTTCGAGGTCTCAAATTTTAGTTTTCTTGATTTCTCAATTTCTAGATTTCCCAATTTCTTAAATTTTTGATTCTGCATTTCTCGAGTTCTCGATTTTCAATTTCGCGATTTTACAAATTTTCATTTTGATTCTTGGATTTTTAATATTTCAATTTTTCGTATTCTTAATTTGTCGTTTTTGCAGTTGTTCAATTTTCGATTTCTTGGTTTTTCAAATTTTTTGTTCTGCATTTTTTGATTTCTCGATTTTCAATTTTTCACTATATTCAGAATGCTCTCATTTCAGAAGGGGCGTACGCCACTGGTCACAGTGGTTGAATTCAGCGCCGAAAATGCGAAGCCAAAAAAACACAAAATTTTCATACAATATCATTTTGAAAAATTGAGCTTTCAGAAAAGTTGGCTAAAAATTCACCAAAAAGTGGAAACATAGATTTTGACAAGAAGATTCGAAAAAAGTAGCGTTTTCAAAGTCAAATTTTGAGAAAACTCTAAAAATTGCCATATTTAATTTTGGCTAAAGATAGCGAATATTTTCGAAGAAATGGTAAATGTAAAAAAATCGTTTAAATTTATTCGTCTTAACCAAAATAAACCCGTTAATTAGATTAAGACAGCTCTCCTAAACGAAACGCTCTGAAAATTAATTCAATAATTGCGTTTTCGCACTAAGTGGCTTCAACGTGACCACTACCAAAAAATTCCACGTT